TTCATGCAATTTTGTATGTCGCCCTTATTCTTGTAGATAGGCACCAAGGTACTCGTTCGCCACTCATTTGGCATCTTCTTCGTTTTCAAAATCCTATTGAAAAGGTCAGTGAGCCATGTTATACCTGTCTCTCCCAAAACTTTCCACACTTCGATTGGTATATCGTCTGGGCCTATTGCTTTTCTATGCTTCATCTTCTTCAAAGCTACAACCACTTCTTCCTTCCGGATTCGACGATAAAAAGAGTAGTTTCTACACTCTTCTGAGTTACTCAACTCCCCTAAAGAAGCACTCCTTTCATGTCCTTCATTGAAAAGATTATGAAAATAACATTTCCATCTGTCTTTAACTGCGTTCTCTGTAGCAAGAACATTTCCATCCTCATCCTTGATGCACCTCACTTGGTTTAGGTCCCTTGTCTTCTTTTCCCTTGCTCTAGCTAGTTTATAGATATCCAACTGTCCTTCTTTGGTATCTAGTCGTTTATACATATCGTCGTAAGCTGCTAACTTAGCTTCTCTCACAGCTTTCTTCGCCTCTTGCTTCGCTTTTCTATACCTTTCACCATTTTCATCGGTCCTATCCTTGTATAAGGCTTTACAACATTCCTTCTTAGCCTTCACCTTTGTTTGTACCTCCTCATTCCACCACCAAGATTCCTTTTGGTGTGGGGCAAAGCCCTTGGACTCTCCTAATACCTCTTTTGCTACTTTTCGGATACAACTAGCCATGGAATCCCACATTTGGCTAGCTTCCCCCTCTCTATCCCACACACACTGGGTGATTACTTTCTCTTTGAAAAATGGCTTGTTTTTCTTCTTTTAGATTCCACCATCTAGTCCTTGGGCACTTCCAAGTCTTGTTCTTTTGTCTCACTCTTTTGATATGTACATCCATCACCAACAAGCGATGTTGATTAGCCACGCTCTCTCCTGGTATAACTTTGCAATCCTTACAAGTTATACGATCCCCTTTCCTCATTAGAAGAAAATCTATTTGTGTTTTTGACGACCCACTCTTGTAGGTGATCACATGTTCTTCTCTCTTCTTAAAGAAGGTGTTGGCTAAGAAGAGATCATATGCCATTGCAAAATCCAAGATAGCTTCCCCATCCTCGTTTCTCTCTCCCCAAAACCATGGCCACCATGAAAACCTCCATAGTTGCCTGTCTCTCTGCCCACGTGTCCATTTAAATCTCCTCCTATAAATAACTTCTCCGTCTGAGCAATTCCTTGCACCAAGTCTCCAAGATCTTCCCAAAATTTCTCCTTCGAACTCGTATCCAACCCTACTTGAGGTGCGTACGCACTAATCACATTGATAAGTTCTTGTCCTATTACAATCTTGATTGCCATGATTCTATCTCCTACCCTCTTGACATCTACAACATCTTGTACCAAGGTCTTGTCCACGATGATGCCAACACCGTTTCTCGTTCTATTTGTGCCCGAATACCAAAGTTTAAACCCTGAGTTTTCTAGATCCTTTGCCTTACTACCAACCCACTTAGTTTCTTGTAGGCACATAATATTTATCCTTCTCCTCACCATAACTTCCACTACTTCCATAGATTTTCCCGTTAAGGTTCCTATATTCCACGTTCCTAAACGCATTTTGCTCTCTTGAACTCTACCCTTCTGTCCTAGCTTCTTCACCCTCCCCCATCTAATAGGATCAAAGTACTTCTTTTGTGTGTCCCGGGTAAAGTTGATAGGAGCATATGCTCCCAAACAACTTTGAGTGGAGTCGTTCGAAAAGAAGTTTCTATGGCCCCCTTGCTCATTTAACACTGCATCCGGGTGCCGATGGAGATACAGCGACCCTTGCTCACTTATCACTGTGCTCGGGCCACACAGCGCGCCACTTACGGGTGACGCCCTAGCTTTAGCGCGATTTTGTTCTGGATTCATTTTCATAAGGATTCGACGTGATCATGGAGTGCCGGCTGTCGACTACCTGACGCCCTCCCCCTCCTCCTTTATCCGGGCTTGGGACCGGCCATGTAAAACATAGGCGGAGTTTAATCCATGATCTACCACTACAATGTTTTATTCATGTCCCCTATGCCTTTAACTCCATGGGCACACTAAAAAATGTACTCATCATTACCTTAACATATTGAGTACACTGTGCTTTTCGGATTCTTAACAAAGATCTGACTTTGTTTTTACTATAAAATCATGCTTTATGTACACATGAAGCAACAACAATAGATTATTCAAGAGTATCAATTTGCTTGATGGGCGTTGATATTTACCTTAAGTTTCAGTTCAGCAACCTCAGTCTCATCACAAACTTCCAGCATCAGTGCCTGATGATAAAGACAACTACGTGTCAAACCAGACGGTTGTGCAAAAGCATTAGAGGCAGGATCAATATCGATATGAAAAGAATCTAATAAAATTTTAATGAATAATATAAGAAGCAATCATCACAAAGCAAGATTTAGGATTACTTTCAGTATAACCCTAATATATAATGATTAACCTCTCTATGTGAAATTGTGAATTGTTAACATACAATAACTTCACAAATCTATTAATGAAGGAAAAAATTAATTATGCTACAATCACAAAGAACAAAGGGTCATACAACAAAATCAAGAATTCCTGGTTCAATTACTACTTATTTTGTTTATGTAAAATTGTAAATATTCTCACCTCAAATCCGCTAGGAAAAATTGTAGGTTGGGTAGCTTTTTTTGATGATCCTTGTGGTTTACTATCTGCTGAATCTGCCCAACATCAAATATCTTTAAGATGGAAATTAAAAGTTTTACTTGAGACTTTGATATATTGACATTTTAGCATGTATAAGCACATTTAAAGAAAAATGATAACCCAATGTTTAAGAAACAGGAACTAAAAAGAAAGAAATCAAATCCCGATGGAAACTGTATTCTCTCAAAAACAAAAATTATCTTCACATGCAACAATGTAACGGAAATCAGGCTTTACAAATATCCAAGAGAAAACATCACGAGTCATTGATTAATTCAAATTGCACTCATAAATACAAACTTGCTAGTTACTGAATATTGTATAGACATAAACATACCGCTGGAATTTTCACTCTTGGTAGCGTCAGATGTCTTCACACATGATACTAGCACTCCATTTCGCTTTTGTGAAGAATAAATGAACTTCTCACTGACCATCAAGCCTTGGAAATATGACCTACTTGGCGCGGGCCTTCTGGTATTGTGCACAGGCAACATACCAGGCTTGTCAAGCAAGGACCGGACATGGGAAACTGTGCCTACAGAACCTGAAATGTGACATTGTCTTGTCAGATTCCAACAATTGATCAAAGTATAACGATCACTGAACAGTTTTCACTTTGTAGAGTAACATAAAAAGATTATGCATATACAATTTCAAATCCTTCGTATGCATGCTTTATTATTCCAAACAGGACGGTTTCATGAAATGATAAAATTGAATGATTGACTACGAGGCAATAGGTAAAACTGTTTCACACAACAACGAATATTATAACAAAATTACAAAAATTGTCATGTTGCATTCAAACTTCAGCATTCAAAGAGATAAGGCACGTATAAGCCTTTTCACGCGGTATGTCTTAAGGATTCGCTACTCCTTTCTGAATGAAGCAAATGACGGTACAATTCAAGTTTTACCACAGCATTTGAACAAGTTTCAATTCAGCATGCTTTCTTAAATTAGATACATTCAGCTCCAGGAAGAAAAAAAAACGATGTATATGTTCGTTATCCTCATCGTAGAAATCCGTGCCGGTTGAAGATAACAGGAAAACAAAAAAAAATAACCAGATCTCAAACAATTTGAACCTAATTTCTTACTTCAACATCCATATTTCTTCTAGCATTACCTTAATTTCACGAAAACAGTGTGCGCAAGAACCAGCTAAGCTTAATTCTCCAGAAACAATCAAAATAAACTCAAATCTTCCATTTCTTTTCAAAATTCACATCAATTCGATTCCTCATCAATCAATTCATTCACAAAATAAAAAACTAAGATAAATAAACAGCTAAAATTGTTTTTTCGAAAAAAATATAGCTCAAATTGTTTAACACTAATGCTTAAGCTTCAAACATATACAAATTTATATCATGTGTGCATGTATGTACGAATGAACATAGAGAGAGAGAGAGTTACAGTTGAAGGATCGGAGAGCGGCGGAGGACTCCATTGGCGGAAGGAAAATGCAGACGAGAGAGATTTCCGGTGATTTGGACGAACCAGAAATGGTGGAATCGGGACGAGACGGGAATTTATAGAGAAGTTTTGAGGGGCAAAATCGAGAGCTTGAAGAAAATGAAGCGCCAGTATGCGGTGTGTTTGGTTAAGCACAGTTGTTGGGGAGATTGATCTTCGAAATGTCCGCCTCCCTCATCAGTTTCTCCGTTTAAGCTTTAATTCCTTGTCGCTAACTTGCGCCGGGGCGTGCTCCCTCTCACGTGGCACTTATCCGTCGCTCCTTGATCGAGGAATGAGAATCCGGATCCTCGTGATTTTGAGAATTCTCAAATCGTGTATGTTCATCGGTATGATCAGAAATTATTTTAAATATTTTATTTAAAATTAAATATAAATAATATCTGATGAAAACTGATTGAACGAACACGATTTGAATATTTCTCGTTAAATTGAGGAGGTATTGAGTGCAGCGGGTTGCAGAATTGCACGTGTGTACTGATACGTGTACATGAAGTGATGTCAGATTCACTTGAAATGGGCTTTTGAGACGGTATGGGCCAGACAAGTTTGTTCGATTAGCCCAATATAGCTTAGTTCTTCCACGAGATATTTCATTTTTTCGTATGTGGGAGAAGGGAGGGTTCGAACTTGAAACCAGAGAAATATACAACTAAGTAAGAGTTTTTATATTTGAATTTTATATTCAAATCAAGTAAATGACGAGTACACAATTAATTTAGTGCCCCATTCATTCAGTGTAAATATATCATTGTATAAAAAAGTCAGATCAATTTAAAAGAAGAAACATAAAGGTGATAAGATCAAATCAATTTGAAGTACGTTATTGCCATAAAAATGCAAATCAAATTACACTTGAAAATGAGTATCCTAGATTAAGCAAAAGTAATTGTTGGCTCCAAAGAGAAATTAAGCAATTGTAAGGGTGAGGATTTCTCTAAATTCCAACCTTCTGGTTTCAGTATAAAAAGTTTTATGTTTGTTAGGCCAATATGTTAACCAAATCCACCCTCTAACTTCCCAATCCATTGTTCTTCCCATTGCAGCTTTGTCCACCTTCCAAATCACACCCTCTCCATACTCATCACCAGCAAAAACAACCCCTCCTTGCCTTGTGAAAGGCCTATATGCACTAGAGTATCTATCTTTGAACCAAGCTTTGGGGTTGATCAATTGAAACTTTGATGGCTTGGAAGAGAAGACCTCTCTTCCATCCACACTGTCATGAAGAAACCAGTTCAAATTTGCGCTATATCCGTACACTGATTCCTCAAACTTCCAGGGTTTTAAGCTCATTGTTATGGTCTCGCTAGCTGATACCTTGAGCGCCAAGTAAGGGTTTGGGGGTTCAAACGAGCCTTCTATGCCTTTTTCCTTGCCAATCTCTATTGCAGGGTTTTCAGAAGACTTGCCAACTGAAACGCTTAGCACATTTGTTTGTGTAGTTGGAGTAACTTGTAATGAAATTCTTGAAGGGAAGTGCTTTTCAGATACCCCGGCGCCTTGCTCGTTCATTAGTCTCTCATTCACAAGACTGATCACATCACACCTGTAGTTTTTAGAGTCAGCGATCAATTTGGCAAAAAATTTGTTGATCTACATGGTATAAATAATCAGTTCACGTGTTATAATATGAGGGAAAAAGATACCTTATGTTATCAATGTTTAGCATCACATCAATCCACCTCTCTTGAACCATGACATTGTAATTGAATTGAAGCACACCCTCAAGCTGGTGGAAATTCAGAGAGAATTGGAGCCTTTCATCAACAGAGATATTGCTGGATTTGGCAATGTCCATGGCTATGAGAGGACAATACAATTGGACTTTCCACAACCCAAATGCTGAAAAACCATAAGAGAAGAGTGGTGAAGGTGTTTTCATGAGGGTTCCCTGGGTGGCTTGAAGCTCAAGAATCCAATTGGTGATTGCAAGATTGATTGACCTCATCCATTCCTCCTCCAAATTGGATCCTAATAACTTCATTAGGGTCTTTGATGATTGTCTTGACCAACAATTAGCCAAGTAATTCTTGAGAGTATTGAGCCATCCCGACCGGAGACCCGCGGGGGCTTCATAGATGCAAACAAGAAAGACGAGCGTGACAAATGCGAGGTTAAAAACATCGCCAAAGTTGGCAATGGAGTCGAATTTGAGAAATTTGATCAAGAAATTGTTCTTGCTCGAGCCGTAACGAAGGACATCTTCAATGAAATTGACTAAGAGGCTGGAAAGTGCTTCTTGGGTTATTAAGTTGGTGGATTTAGGGTTGAATTTGAACTGCTTTGAGGTCCAAAGGGAGATGGGGAGATTGAAGTCTGCTAGTATAGCAAAAGAGAAAGTAGGGTTTTGGAGATTTTTGGAAACGCAGAGTTTGAGAGATGGTTGTGATGAACTTGAAGAACATATGGATATGGACATGGAAGGTGTTGGCCATTGAGCGATCGATGGGAGGGTTTGAATCCAGGAAAATATGTCAGGAAAGCCACAAGAAGCCATTGAACTAAGCAGATTAGTTAAAACGAATTAGGTTTTAACTAATCTCCTTCCTTCTCTTTTAATTAAGGACTTGAAACATGATGTCTATTTTTATAGACACGTAAACACTTTCCTGCGTAAATGGAAGCAGACCGGGAAAAAGCAGATTCTGGTGTGACGAAAAGTCAAAAGAAAAAAGCATATAATTGGTTGGATGTTGTTCGACTGGTGAAGAAACTTTTGGATGGAAAGTTGTGCAAGAAAAATGCAATTGTTGTGTGTGTATCATGTTATGGATATATTCGACATGCCTAATCAATCCCTTAATTGGTGCATGATTAACTTAGAAGAAAAAAGAGTTAGTTAATTATCTCAGCAACGTTTGGTGAGCTGGATGAAATTGAGCTTTAAGGATATGATTAGGTTGATAAGGAGATTATAGACATGACTTATAATCCATTTATACGGATATGTTAGATAACTTACTCTATTGTTAATTCATAATCTATCAGGTTCAGTCCTATCTATCTTACATTTTACAACAACAAACAAAAGATTATTTTAATTGATCACAATCTATCTCAACCTGCTCACCGAAAAAGAAATGCAAAGTGGGATCATTGTGGCTAATGGGTTTTGACTCGGATTACATATCTTGATTGTAATCCAACAAAATAAAAAATTATGCAAAGAGGAATCATTTCTTAATAAAGTAGTTATATTCTTAATAAAGTCGTTAACTGTCGTGTATGATAGAGATTACTTTTGGTTCATTACAATATTTGGTCAACAATATATGAGCACATAAAGCTTATGCAAGTTTGTATACAGTAACACTGTTCTAAAAATCTCCGCCTAGATGCTAGGCGTCTAGCCACCGCTCTGATTAATATACATAGGCGTTTAAAAAATAAGAAAAGACGCCTAGACCTATCGAGGCATCCACTTAGACCTGCCTAGGCCGCGACTCACTTAGACATAAAATAGATAACTTTTCTTTTTGCACTTTTATTTTTTTAATATATTGTAAGAGACTTATTGTATACTTAAATGAACAAACTTATATCCTTGTTCCTCATGTTTTCATTATGTTATAATACTTCATAATATGTATATCATTCTATTTTGTAGTTTATGATGAAATTATGTAAATTTTAAGTATAAGCACACTTATGTACACAAAATATAATAGATTTACTTAAATCCGTCTAGTCCACCTAGGCACCCACCTAGCCGCCCAGACGTTAGGCCCTAACCCGCCGCCCGACTAGCGTCTAGCGTCTTTTAAAACCTTGTACGGTAGTGAATTTAGTTGCATAAATTTTGTTTGTAGAACGTTTGTTTATAATAAAAAGGGTGTAGTGTATTAATATTGTATTGATAACGTCAGAACTCAGAACAACATGTAGCTAGGTATTTCTTTTGCTACAAGCTACCGACGAAGTATCAATCATTCTTAAAGAAAAATAACCTTGTTTCATATAGTTGAACTAGTTTTGAACTTCCGGTTGTACACATACAATTAGATTTTAATATATTGCATCATGTAATTAGTCACAAGATAAGAGATGTAGAAACATGTTAATTTGCATACAACTGACGATATGATATAAGTGAACGTATGGCTTGCCTCTTTCTTCCTAGACTATGTATAGCAAGGTGATGCAGTGCAATCCAAGCAATGCGTTCTCTTTATTTACAGAAAAAAATTGTGCGCGATATCATTAGACTATGACGTTGTATTTTTAACCAACATGTTATAATAAAAGTGAATGATGAGCTTACGTAATTACGTCGTGTGATGATAATGTGGAATGTCTTCTCGAAGTACATAATTGCGATGTTTGACAAAGAATAGTTAGATCTGAGATGGATAAGATATATATGAAACTTGCATGCATGTATACAACTAGGGCAAGCAAACTCTCTCCGTGTTTCCCATGAAAGATATGCGGCGTGCTGGTCCGGGGCAAGCAAACTCTCTCCGTGTTTCCCATGAAAGGTATGCAGCGTGCTGCAGCATCCGGAATTACGTGCAGCCTTCCGAGTTTTGGAGAATATTTAAAAGCTTTTTATTTGACGTGAGTTGATCAAAGTTAGACCGAACCAAAACTTAAACCAATCCCTGAAGAAATGCGTCAAGTACTGTGTTTGGCCTAACTTATCCAATCCATGCAGCATATCCAGTTATACTCCCATTGTGTAGGAATGTGAATATATCCTCATATAGTCGAGACATGCCTAACTGACTTCTCCAACACTACTTACTATACGTATGATAAATACTTTTCAGTGTGATTGTAACACTGTAATACCGTCACAAATCCAATTAGGTTATTATACAATATACGATATTATTGCCAGTGTGACTATCACATTGCTATACTCATCGCAATTCATTTAGATAAAACAAGTGGCGTATCTAAAATTCGGACCTTGGGGGGTCATGGTGTTAAAGGTTCAAGTTTTTTAGATAGAAACTGAGCACACTTCTTATCATCAGTCAAACCATGTTGCGCACATGTCAACATATATTGATATATGGCGAAACAATCTGATGAGTGATATCGAGAGACTTTGTCGAGTGCTACAGATGCAACTTGTCAAGATGCGCCTAGCACGCATTACATCAAACACTTGCTGAGTACAAAATGGACCCGTACCAAACATTCGAATGATCCTCGAAAAACCTCCACATGTATATTTTCAGGACTCCAGGTGATTATGGGGACCGCTTTGGTACCAATGTACATCTGCTTCTTAATAGAGCATAAAACGATATTACCAATCCGTTCATGACACATATATTTACTATAACATGTGAATTTTAACATCATGTAACGGTCTAACAATCACATTAAAAATTTTTCCATGCAATGATGTCAAGATGACAATAAATATATTAAAAAAAATCTCATGTTCCGCGTGGTATACGACCAATAGTGTGGGAATGAAAAAATTTCTTCCCGTTGGGTTGTTTAGGTTTGGGCTACCACCTAAGATTAGAGAGCATACACCTTCAAATACTCGATCTTTACCCCCTTCCTCATCACCATAACTAAATTCGCTCCGATTAAACAGCTTTTGTTGAATCTTGTTCCCTCGTGAAATAGAAAACAGCCCTCCAAGACACCCGCCATCCCACGCGCCAACAATGGCAGGCCCACCGACACTCCCGATGTCCAACTCCCAAACGACCGTCGGCGCCCAGTCGCAGCCTCCCATCGCCACGCCGGCCTTCCGCGCGTTCATCTCGCGCTTATCCTCCTCCGTGCGCCACGGCTTCTCGCAGCGCCGCCCCTGGTACGAGCTCGTGGACCGGAGCGCCTTGGCCCGACCCGACTCCCTCACCGAGGCCTACTCCCGGATCCGCAAGAATTTCACCTACTTCCGCGTCAACTACGTGTCCCTACTCACCCTCGTACTCGCCCTCTCTCTCCTCACCCATCCTTTCTCTCTCGTCGTCCTGCTCTCCCTCCTCGGCGCGTGGGCTTTCCTCTACCTGTTTCGAGCGTCCGATCAGCCCCTGGTCATCCTCGGCCGTACTTTCTCCGACGCCGAAACATTAATCGGACTCGTCGTGCTGACCGTGGTCGTCGTCTTCATGTCCAGCGTCGGCTCGCTCCTGATCTCAGCTTTGTTGATCGGATTCGCCATTGTTTGCGCGCACGGGGCGTTCAGGGTTCCAGAGGACCTGTTCCTCGACGAGCAGGAGCCCGCCAACGCCGGATTTCTCTCGTTCCTCGGCGGCGCCACCTCGTCCGCCGCTGCCTCCGTAGCCGGACGTGTCTAATTGGATCTCGTGTCAAGCACTCGTCGGATTGATCGCTGTAAAGGTTGGTGAGGCCAAACCCTTTGTGTACTGATCTGTGCAATTGATATTCTTGTAGGGTTAAAGAAACTTCATTTGATTGCGGAATTTTGGAGCGGAAATTGTAGGGTTTTATGTAGATTTGATCTGAAATTTGTATTTCTGTTTTATTTATTTAGTCAAATTTTGATGATGATGAATTTAGTTATTAATTCATTTCATTATTCTGATTATTTGGTGATTAGTGCTTAACTGCTTATGAGTAATTTGATTTTCCAGATTCACATGAATAATTTGCGTAGAATTGGATGAAGGTTTGTTTGTTGAAAACTTAGGAAAAGCCGGGGCAGTGTGCTTCCTCCCCGTAGTTTAGATTAAGTTCATTAGAATTTCGATCGGATAAGAAAAACTTCAGGCATCAATGTACTTGTTCATTGTTGGATGTGTTATAGTACGACGATAGGTATTACTTATTGAATTGTGGGATGAGAACAATAGTTGATTGGATTCGGAGATCCGCCATTGATGACGCTGTTGGAGGGTGTAATGGTGGTTTTGGTCATGGCGGTATTGAATTGTGGGATGATAACAATATTTGATTGGATTCGGAGATCCGCCATTGATGACACGGTTGGAGGGTGTAATGGTGGTTTCAATCATGGCGGTTCAAACATCTTGTGTTGATAGAATTTCATTTCATTATGATGATTAACTAAGAGCAAACTTGTTAAGTTTAGAGTTGATGAAGCCAAATTTACGGGAATACGATTATTTCTGAAACGATGCTCTCTCTCTGCCCATGTTTTGTTTCTGGTAGATAAGTTGAGCCGGCTAGCGTTGTTAAGCCAGGTGGGTTGCATCATTGATTCATTGTTAGGTTATGGAAATAATTGTTAGCTGCACTTGACTTTACTCGTTTATTTTGTTTTGATTTGAAGTAGTCATAAGAGGGGATTTTCTGAAACGCGGGGTTTGAGTAGTTGATCAATCGACAGAATGCAGCCAGTCGACCGGCCGCTCTCATTCTGCAACCATCCTGCAAGATTTGTCTTGCATTTTGGAGTTAATAACATCTATGCTGATTGCTTCGAATGAATATCTGTTCTTTCCCCGCCATTCTCAATTTGAATAAATTTTCGAAACAATGACTTTGTTTTATGCATGTTTCTTGGTCTTAATGTTTGTTCTTATTCCGGCACTAGTACTAGGGTCTGATATTTCTCGTTACTTGTAAGTAAGAAGTTATAAGCTTGGCACGTAATTATATTTGGTCGATCGTGTCGCCAGATCCCCACCCGCAGTATCATAGTATGAATAATGCTTCTTGTTATTCCTTTGCTTCGTTGATTGTGTTCAATTGGTTGGCTTGTTACCAGATGAATACAATGAATGGCTTAACAAGGTCAGTTTGTTATTATCGAATAATTACTACCTTTATGTCTACCGGAAATCAGGTGGCACTAGACTATTGATGTTAACTATGGGTTCGGTTAGAAGTGTTTTTAAAATGATTGAAATTAATTCTTAATAAAAATTCAAGTGAATCTTGGAAAATCATTTTAAGTGCTTGTGCTTCTTTTAAAAAGCACGAAAAGTGCTTTTGGAACCCAAATTAATTTTACTAGAAGTGTTTTTAGTTATTTTAAAATCATTTCTATACTAGTATTATGATTACATCATGTAATTGTATTTTTTTTTTTTTTCAAAACAGAACAAAATTGACTGTACACTAATTCACCTTCACCACATGGCAAGCGTTTAATATTTAGGATAAACATTTATTGAATATGTGATAAACATCTATTGAATGGGTGACATCACTTGAATTATGTCTTTTTGAATACATACGATATTATTTACACTATGAGTCGGTGATGGAGTAAACTAAGACTCACAATAGGCTACTCATAGTAATTTGGTTCAAATTCGCCTATGGCGAGAGTTAAACCTAAGACATCTCACTTACAAGCGAAATAGAATACACCACTAGACCGTCGTACTATGTAATCTTTGAAATCATGTATTGGTTGTGAGTGAGAATATCACAAATTGAAGTTTAGAAATTCTCTTGGGTAAATTACATAGTAGTCCCTCAGGTTTGAGGTCTATTACAATCGCATACAACAACTTCAAAACATTTCACTTTCATACCTCAACTACTATTTTATTTCAATATAGTACATCAGTTACATTTTCCATCCATTAATCCGTTAAATGCTGACGTGGCTGTCCAATGTCTGCCACGTGGCAAATAAAATAATTTTTTTAAAACCTGAATTTTCTCAAAACAAAAAATTGAAAAAAAAAGAAACCCATATCCCTTATCCCTCACCCACCCCCCAGAAACCTAAAAAAAAAATTGAAACAGAAGAAGAAGAAGAAGAAGAAGAAGAAGAAAAGCCCAGAACCCTTTCCTCCCCCCTGCTCTGTCGCGACCCGCGACCCACCTCCCTTCCTCCCCTGGGCTACCTTCCGGCGACCACACCCCCCCCGCGTCGCGCCGTCAGAAGAAGAAAAGCCCAGAACCCTTCCCTCCCCCCGCCACGCCGCGACCCGCGACCCACCTCCTTTCCTCCCCCGGGCTACCTTCCGGCAACCACACCCCCCTCCCCACCGCGCCGCCAGATCCCTTCCTCCCCCCGGTTACCTTCTGGCAACCATCCCCCCTTGGGCGCCAAGATCTCGTGATTTTCAATGTGGGTGGGTTTTGAAAATACTTTGAGTTTGAGATGATTTTTGGATTGGTTTTGTGGTAGATCCACCTAGTCTCGTGTGCAATTTTTGGGGTGGGTGATGGAGGATTTTTGGGAGGGGTGATGGGGGATGGGAGAAAGGGGTGGCTCGGGTGGGATAGACTAGGGCTTTTTTTTCTTCTTTTTTTTTCTCCCCTCTTCTTCTTCTTGTTGCAGGTTTCTGGGGAGGTCATTGAGGGGGGGGGTGAGGGATATGGGTATCCCTTTTGTTTTCCCTTCTTCTTCTTCTTTTTCGGCTTTTTTTTTCTTTTTTTTTTCTCCCCTCTTCTTCTTCTTCTTCAGCTTTTTTTTCTCCCCTCTTCTTCTTCTTCTTCTTCTTCTTCTTGCAGGTTTATGGGGAGGTTGCTTGGGGGGGGGGGGTGGGTGAGGGATGAGGGATAAGGGTTTCAATTTTTATTTTTTTTTTGAGAAATTCGGGTTTAAAAAAAAAAAAAATTTATTTTATTTGCTACATGGCAGACATTTGACAGTCACGTCAGCATTTAACGGATTAATTGATGAAAAATGTAACGGAAGTATTGTATTGAAATAAAATAGTAGTTGAGGTATGAAAGTGAAATATTTTGAAGTTGTTATATGCGAATGTAATAGACCTCAAACTTGAAGGGTTATTATGTAATTTACCCAATTCTCTTTTATTGTGAATGATATCTTATAGATGATGTGATTAGGCACCCTGCCCACACTTTTCTCCAATTGTGCGTTTTGGGCCAACCCAAAAACAGAAATCAAAGTGGACTTCATACTTCTAATTTTGTAAAAGCCCAAAGGAAGGGAACTCACACTATCAAACCCCATAGAAAAATCAGTTGCTTGACTTAAATCATTGTGAAATATGATGAATGCCTAGGCTCGTTTGGAAATCCATTTAAAATGAGTGGAAGCACATTTTAAGTTCTAAAACACTTAAGTATTTTTTCATGTTTCACTTGCATTTTTTTCTAATGATTAATTTAAAAAACATTACGTTAAAATCACTGTCAATCATCTCAGAAGCACTACCAAACGCATTATAAATTCCAAAAAAAAAATAAAAAAATTCATCTTCTTCTTCATCAGCCGAAACTAAAAATAAAACGAGAAAATGATGTACCTTCTTCTTCTATCTTTTCTTTCTGTCGAAAATTAAATAAAAATCTGGACCACCACATCATTCCGAGTCCGACACAAGTAATGGCGATGAAGACTTCTCTATTTTGAGGGGACCATGACGTGGCCCGCTTCCATTGGTTAATGAGGTCAGGCCCAACTCCTCAAATAGTCAAAACCTAACATTTTTGTTTTCCAACATGAATGATGAAACGAAAGGTTAAGCCGTAATGGACCACTTTCTCGAGCCCTCACCTATTTTTTTCACCTCCTTATCGAAATAAAAAAGATATTCTTATGTACGGCGGCTATAATTGTTAAGATGACTTCCGATTTTCTTCTCCTCCTTCAAGAGATAAAAGAAAAATTCTTATGCACAACCGCTATGATTGTTAAGACGACTTTCTTTACCATGTTTCTTAGTATTCGAGCCATTTGGTTTTCCATCATCCATTAATGGCCACATAAACGGCTAGAATTTGTCTGCGAACGACGACAATTGAACTCTCACATGGTGGATTCACAATCCACTGGGTAGAGGACTGTATAAGTCCGTGGCAACCATTAAAGATACACACAAGGAAGACCTCATAAACTTGGTTCTACCAAATTAGGAAGACCTAAGTGCAGAAAATATGTGACATAGCACGGGCGGCCTACACAAAATCTCTCTTAAAAGAGAGTGCGATATACCGCCAAGGCCGGTCTAGAGATTTTTGAGGCCCGGGGTGACGCCAAAAAATTATTTATTTTTACACGTAAAACATTGATAAAATTATATTTAGAAAAACACTTCAAACTTACTAATTTAGAAACATGGAAAAACTAATTTATTTTGTATCGAGAGAAGGAAACCAAAAAACTTCAGGCTTACAAGTAGATAGATTATGAGTTTTTTCTTCCATCTAAACTTTTAAAGTGTTTTTGTATAAATCGTTAGGTGTTTTTTTTCTTATTTGCTAACCTCGTCAATATAAGACTAAAAAAAATAATGATATTTTCGAGTCTTTAAGGATATGTATAAATAATGAATGGGCACCAAATCAAACCTTTTGATGACACGTCATATGATTTGCAAATTTGGTCTAAAAATTTAGTCTACACATCACCTTTTGTTGAAGATTAGACTTGAATTAGAATGAATGTTTAAAAATAGCAACCCACGTAGTTACTGGCTAGTAATTCAAAATAAATTAACCAAACAAAAATTCGTAAAAGTTGAAAAAAATAAACATGCACATAGCATTTTGAACTTAGGACCTCTCATCCTAATTTTAAATATAAAAATCATTGCTTCTAATCAAACTTCTGATCATTTAGCCAAATTTTATAAATTTATACTGTTATGAAAGGAAATTTGTAAAAATTGGAATTTAAATAACTACACATGG